GCATGTATTTTCCTGTACCCCTTATTTCATCTATTTGATGTTGCAGTTGGTGAGGGAGGGGGCTCGGCAGAGACCCTTTCCTTTCACCTCGAACCCACAGCCTTTATAGTTGGCGACTCCCTTTGAGTCCACCTGCAGGTCGGGCTGAAGAATCTCCCAAAGCCTCTGTTTGGACTGAAGCTCTTTGTCCGGCTCACCTGAACACAGATAGAGTCATGACTGTCGGGTCAAATGATCCATTTAAAACACATAGTCTTTTAAGATGGAACTTTATTTATCCCTTGGGGAAATTCAGGCGTTAATAGCAGCAAAAATAAAGAGATAAAGTGACTATTCAAACAAGATATCACAGTAAAAAGTTGTGCATTTGTAGGAACATGTTAAATATATATACAAAAAGACATTTAACAAAGACATATGTTTAGGTTTACATTTCAGGAGGGCAAAAGGAAGAGACTGTAAGCAGAACGTCTTCCTCTGAGGATGAAGTAGCTCTGTTCTGCATTTGAGATCGACTTTCGACTTTCTTTATCACTTTATTAAATATAACAATCGACAAATCATTTATCAGTTTCTCTTTTTCCTCCATAATGACCACCTGGAAAACCAAACCCTCCTCATAAAACATATGTTGAGAGTGATGTTGGATTTAGTCAATTAACTGGTATTGCTAACAATGACTAGAATTCTGTGTTACATTGGAATTCCGTCAGCTCCAATATCCGACAGTACAAATAAAAAAAGCTGCATGATGTTTCATTTATTCACTTATACTGTTACAATGTCATGGTTGTTACCAGGGTAGTTGAGGAAGGTGACTCTGTCCCCTGGGTCGGAGCATGTGGGCGGGGCCAGTCGCTCAGTTACGTCATCATCAGAGGCGGAGCAAACGAGGAGGCGGGCCTTAGAAGCCACGCCCCTCAGTTTACAGGCCTTCACGTTGCATAGCAACACAGCGAGACCACCCTGCAGCTGCAAAGGACAATAATGTATTTTATCAAATTATTTTAGCAAAGGTGATTTTAGACAAAAGTCATTTTTTTGTATAGTATTTGTAAAAATAAATAATCACATTTAGAGAATACATTCGTAATATTTTCAGAATAAAGTTAATTTGACCTCCTCGAGGTCTGTTTGAGCTCCCAGCTTGCTGACGACGGTTCGGGGTGCGTTCTCTCCGACGTCCACTTCCTGTACGGACAGCGTCTCGGCCAATGGGTGGGGCCGGACGCTGAGGATCCGTCCGACTCGCAGATCCAGTCGAGACACGTCGACTCGAGGCTCCGCCACCAAAGAGAGAGAGTCACAAGAAGGACGAGCTAAGAAAAAGACAAGTAAATCAGAATCAGAACCAAAATCCTTCCTTCCTTTCCTCATTTCCTCTTCTTCTCACCTTTCCTGTCTCCTCTCTTCCTCCTGCTTTGTCTGTCTCTCCGGTCCTGGGAGGAGGGGGTAGGAGGATTATTGGGAACAGCAGCTGTTTCTGTGTTGGGGGCGGGGCTTGTAGTCGTTGGAGGCGGGGCCGGGGCGAACAGAACCTTAGCTGCAAAACAAAAGGAAAATATGATAAATGAATTGGATGTGTTTTATCTATGGACTGATCTCCAAGTGAATACGTCTTTATAAAGTTTATATTAGATTTTTAAAATGTAGTTGCCCGTGTGTGTCTGTGTGTTTATATTTGTGTCTTTATGAGGACCCAGTTGAGTTATAAACCTTGAGTCAGGACAGTTTTGATAATTCTTGACATTTTTGGAAAGTTGAGTATCCAAATGAAGAGTGACGACATTTTAAATAATAACTAAAATATCATAAAGGAAGGATATTTTGGAGAAGTTAGGAACCTATGATTTTAAAGACAGCTTTTGAAAATTGCAAAGTTTGGAAAGTAAAATAGCGTGATTTAAGAATTGTTTTTGAAAAGCAACGACATTTTTGAAGATGGAGAAGAGACAGTAAAGAAAATATAACTACGGAAAAAGATATCATAATAAAATCAAGCAGTACCGGTGCGTCTCTTCTGTTTGTCCTGCAGCTGAGTTTTGAGCTGCTCGATGTCTTTCTTTAGTTTCCCGTTTTCCACCAGCAGCTTCCTCTGATCTCTGACCGACGCCTGAAGCTCTGAAACACACACACACACACACACACACACACACACACACACACACACACACACACACACACACACACACACACACACACACACACACACACACACACACACACACACACACACACACACACACACAGTCGTTGGAGACACACACACATATTTATAAAATAAACTAGATATCAACCAAAAGGGGGCGCAATGCACAAATATTTTTGCATTGACAATTTCACAGCATTTTTTTGGTTATGGAAATAAACGTTTTGAATATGAGCACATATCTTTTTTCTCTTACGTGCTTTCTCTCTTGACAACATGGCGTGAGTTTGAAAATACTCCACGAATTGCGGCCCGTCCTCTGGATCGAGCTTTATCAGAGCATCTGCCACGCTAAGAGACAACCAAACCAAAGTATTAATCATTTCAAAGCCCAGGTTGTTTGCATTCATGGGAATAAATACGACTTTGACTCTATCACCGTAAATGTCATGAAGGACAAATCACCTGCAGTTTTAATCAGGAAAAAAGATCTCTCTGATGCAAATATGATAATTCACAATGTAAAGGCTTTAAATTGACTTTATGATGCGCTGCAGTGGTCGTTGTTAAAACACAGACTTCACTGACAGTTTGCAAATCAGACGGCATTGATGTCAACGATTAAATGTTTATTTAGATCAGTGCTTCTCAAACTTTTTTCAGTAATGCACCCCCTTTGAAACATTTTCTCAGCCAAGTACCCCCTGACCGATCCCGAACATTTTTGATCGAAAAAGCCTATATAAATAACTACAATATAGTGATGTTCCCTCAGTGTGTGATGTATTAACTCCTTCGTGCATGCATTACAACAAACTAAGGATATTTTCACTTTATGCATGAAAAAAAATAACATAACACTTTTATAAAACAGATTTTTCCAAGGAGTTTTTCAATTTAAGTAATATGTTATTGTGAAAAACTATAAAATACAATACACACATTTGACATGTTTATATGAGGACCCCCTTTGGTGGTTCTAGGAATGTTTTATATACAATGGTGTTTTCTATTTAACTTATTTTACTAAGATTATTTTTTTAATTAACCTTTTTTTTATTTTTTTTTTTAAATCTCACATACCCCCTGCAGTACCCCAACGTACCCCCAGGGGTCCGCGTACCCCCATTTGAGAATCACTGATTTAGATGATATCTGAGTTATCTACGTTTCTGTCCTTGCCTCAGGGCTAAACACACAGAGACGGTGAAATGTCAGAAATAATTGATAAGAGGAAGTTTGTTTGGGATTTAACTTTTGTATCAAAACAGAAATGGTTAGGATTTATACAAGTTCATTGTTGAAGGGAAAAAAAGGGGAAATCCCCTTTAAATTAATTTTGCTCACCTTTTTATTCATTATTTTTCTTTTTTATTGTTATTAATTGTCATTATTATCATTTTCATTAATTGTTGGGAATTCTGTTGCATTCTGGAGTATGTGAATTAAAATATGTCTCTTATTAATCTAGTGAACATTTTATATTATTATTCATATATTATTATTATTATATCATATTTATAATGATTATAAAACTTGTATAGTGGTGGTCAATTTAATGTTATCGTCATATGTCCAATTCCTCATTTAGCCTAAAATATACCCCAAGCTTTGAAAAACATATGAATATGTCCAAGTATGCATATTTATATTAACATTCCAGTATAGCAAACCATTTACCCCTAACATCAACCAAAAACCGAACACCGCTGAAGAAAAAAAGTATTCATTGTGGGGACCCCGATATATGTCCCCACAATGTCTGTGTAACGTGAACAACACACACACATACGAGTCGCAGCTGCTAAACCAATGAGGTTCAGAAACAGCTGCAGTCCGGCCTCCTGCTATAAACAACACAAGCTGACATCAGGGAGTTTTAATGTGAGGGCCGTCCCTGGCCAACTTGAAGCCCCACGCAAAGTTATATGATGAGGCCCTCTGTTTCGTGAGCGTCGGCTGGGGGGGGGGGGGCGCTAGTGGAGCCTCGCAGCGAAACCGTGTGCCGTATAACTGCATAGGTGCTGCGGCACAGTTGAGTCTCCCTCCGCAAAATGAGGCCCCACAGTCTGCATGATCGGCCCGAGGGAGGGACGGCCCTGGTCGCATTACCACAAAAAAACTCTGTTACAAGTAAAAAGTCCTGGATTTGTTATTTTACTTTGAGCAGAAAATGTCCCGAAGAAATCATAGAATAGCCATTATGCGAAACGGCTCCATTTGAACCGTTGCATTTATTTAATATATATTTTCAAGTCTAACTAGTCCATGTTCATTTCTGTCGAAGCAGTCAATGTTGTCCAAGTTGAATTTATTTTAAGCAATATACACTGATTTAATATAATAATATATATTACAATATTTGCTTAGGAATAACATAAAAGTACCTTAAATGTGTACAGAAAAAATAAACTTTAAGCCAACACATAAACATGGGAAAAACAATTGATTGGCACATAATATGAAATAATGTAGAGTAAAATGAATGAATACATCGAACAATAAATAGAAAAATAAATGAGAAACAAAGTTACACAATAATGAAACCATTAACCATTAAAAACATCAAACAATGTAAATACAACAATCTGCAAAAACCTTATAATAAATAAAAAGTCATTCTTACATAAAGGACATGTGTTGTAATTAAATATATATATATATATACAGTAAATCTTAATAATCCCAAATGATGTCAATAAAAAACCTTTGTAGCCGACGTTAGGCAACACACAGAAAGCTGACTTTACCTCAGATGTAACCTTTAAATACCCTCTGTAGGGAGTTTACAATATCATATTATCTTTATGAATATGTATGACTCTAATATACTATTACAAGTACAATAAAG